CCAACGTCTGCACGGCCAGTCCACTAGTCTGTGCCCGCAGCTGCCAGGCAGCGCCCGTGCGTGCAGCCCTGGCAGGCCGCCGGCCGAGCCAGCACCCGACTGCCCGGTTCAGTGTACCGGCAGTCCGGTCCAGATCGGTTTAGACCGGCTGGACCGGTTCATTCAGTATTTGTCAGTTTCAGTCCCGGTTCTCAATTTCAGTATCATTTTCAGTTAAAAAAAATTCTGGGTCTAATTCAGTTCAATTAATTAATATCAGTTTAGTTTCTTACTTAACCGGTTTCAGTTATACCAATTAAGTCCAAATATCATGTCAGGTTCAGTAGAGCATCTTAACATAATTAATCAGTTAATTTATCAGTCTGAGCATAGTCAGTAGTAATTGTTTATATTATATTCCAGTTCGATCAGACATCAGCACTACCATTCAGTTTCAGCAGTTCAGGTGGGGACTCAGACTAAGTACTACATTGTTTATAATTACGCTACCATGTTTGAGGTATGTATTATCAGTTCATTATCCGCTCGGAATGGTCGCCGGTCCATTATGGGTTCTAGTGGCCTTTATCTGCCCACTAGATTGTGCACATGGTGTCCGGTATTAGTTTTTGCCGGCAGATGTTCAGTTATCAGTTACGTGACTTATGTCGCGAGATCAGACCGGTATCAGATATCAGTTTCAGTTTCAGTTCAGTTCAGTTATATATATATATGCCAGGATCATGATATTGTTATTATATTCACTATTTTACTTTAGTTTGAGTTTCTGCAGAGCACAGTGCCTTAGTGCTCACGCCCCCACATACTTCATGTTTTTCAGGTCAGAGAGTCGGGGACGAGGAGTGAGCTGGCGGGCAGTTCAGGATATCTGTGCATATGTATATATATGTTTTGCCACGCTGTTATTTCCGCTAAACTATTAGTACTTATTTTCAGCTTTTTGACCGACGTTAGTCGGTTGAGACATTATAACCGTTTTTATTTATCAGTTTAAAATTTAACGGTTTTCAGAAAAATCAAGTTTTTCACGGTAGCATCCCGAATCAGTTTTCGCAAAATAAATATTTTATTTATTTATTCAAAAAATTGCGAAAAACGCGTACTCTGATTTCAGTAAAAAGTCGGGTTGTTACAATTCTCGTGCTCTGAAAAGTTTTTCAGTCAGTAATTTTCAGAAAAACCTGAACCGTCACGCTCATGCCTCGCCGACTACAGGTAAGTGCTGATTCAGTTTTCAGTTATAAACATATTATTTTGTCTATGCTCAGAAATCAGTAATCAGACTTAGTTAAGATGCTCGAATCAGATTCAGACTTTAGAGTTCAGATATAACTCTAGAATTGAGTATATTCAGAAATGACTCTAAAATTTAGTATCTTTTGATATGACTCTAGAGTTCCTCAGGTTTCACGTCAGTATTTATCGACCATTTTTGGCGACTCATCAAGAGATTTGTGTGCCTTAGTAATCAGTCAGAATTTTATCATGTGTTCAATAATGTTGAACTTTTCCAATGTTCAGATGCCGCCCCGTAGGGAACCCGATCATCCGGCTCCTACTCAGGCCACAGTAGTCGCACAGTTCCGCGACTATCATGCCGAGAAATTCTCCGGGCAGGGAGATCCCCGTGTCGTAGACGAGTGGATTCAGGGCCTGGAGTTTATCTTCGAGGTCATGGATTGCCCCGATAGATATCGCGTAATTTGCGCTCAGCTTCAGCTTACCGGTGATGCCCAGCTCTGGTGGAATGTCTACTGGGGCATGCGTCCCGGAGAAAAGGAGGGTTGTACGTGGGATAGGCTCAAAGAGCTGATCCGCGAAAAGTACTACCCAAGTTACTACAGAGCAGAGGTGGAGCGTCAGTTCTTATCGCTCCAGCAGGGTACTCGATCGGTTGATGAGTACGAGAGGGAGTTCACCAGACTTGCAGGTTTTGTTCCGAACCTAGTTCGTACAGAGGCTTAGAGGACACAGCGCTTCATTGACGGGCTTTACCCAGCAGTCCGCCATAACATTGTTGGCCACGGGACACAGACGTATCCACGTGTAGTTGCTATTGCTCAGGAGGTAGACGCCAGTATCAGGAGGGAGGCCGTCCGTGATCAGTCCCAGCCATCCGCCCCTGCTCAGTCATCTTCAGCTCCACTGTTGCCACCAGCCCTACCAGTTGCCCAGCCACCGAAGAATAACAACAAGAGGAAAGCGAAGGGCGCACAGAATGACAGGAGGACTCGCAGGAGGCAGCAGCAGATTCCCCAGTGCCCGACATGCAGACGACTTCACCGAGGCGAGTGTCGCTTTGGTCAAGATGTATGCTACTATTGTCACGAGCCCGGACACTTCGCGAACCGATGTCCGAAGAAGGCACAGCAGCTCCAGCAGCCTCAGCATCCTCAGCAGCCACCGCAGCA